ACAGTTTGGAGAAATGGTGTACTGCTCCTTGTTTCATAGTGTAATGGTTAATGTTCAAAATATGCTTGCTTTTCATATTGGCACCATCTATTTTTTCTCTTTGACCTGTGCTTTCTCTGTGACTTCTTGTTCGGCTGCTCTTCTGGGCCTAGAGGCAGAGCTTTGGCTGGCTGGTCCCTACCTTCAGATGGTAAAGAATCCTTCTGAAAAGCAGGGAAGATTGCACCCCGCCCCCATCCTCTGAATAACCTTAGGCTGAAACTTCTAAATTCAGGCTGAAGTATGGCTGGTCAGTGAAAACTTAGCTTTCATCTACCTCTAACATTTGAAGAAAGAGAAACATGCCTTTGTAATGACTGGATGAAAACTCAGTTTGCTTAAACTCCCGTTTCTTTCTGCTCCTCTAACCTGCTGCAATTGGAAGGGTTCTCTTTGGGCGTCTTTGGAATGTTGGAGTCTTTTGCAAATGGCCTAGAGTTTGATGGGCAGATTTGAGCGCTCGCAGAATGTACTCGGTGACCATGACATGGAAAAACCCTCTTCCTTTTCCTGCTCTTCTCATGGAGATTTGCCTAAGCAGAAGCATTAAAAGCAAAGCAAACCAAACCAAAGTCTATGGGGCTGTGACTTTTGATTGCTCTGCCGGAGAGAAAGGGTAAGACAGAAAGAGAAGTGCTCTTGCAGCTGCTTGCCGTGGGAACAGAGCAACTGCATGGCAGATGTTTCCTTGGTTACACTAACAATGTTCCTCTTCCTGCCCCTGCCTGCATCCCAATGGCTCTTGGAACAGTCCTGCCAAGAGATAAGGCAGCTAGGTAGATGGCAGGGTCTGCTGCTTTTAATTCACCTTTGCACCATTGGCAAATCAGGGGCTGGCTTTCTCCAGCCCTTGGGGGCTCTTCCTTCAGCTGATGGTTAATTCTTACTGCTCTCTGGGTTTCCAAAGAATACTTAGAGAATCACTGTTGCCTCAGACAGGGAGCCCGCTTCCCATAGCAAGAGTCTGAGTGCTCATGCTACCTTGATGAAGAAACCTCAGTGACTTTTCTTAGTTCTAATTTTCAAAGAGGATTTCTAAACACACAGTCCTATGTTCCTCTGTCTTCCTGAATGTCCTGATGTGTACGAGTTGGTTCAGGACTGTTTATTATTTCTCTTTCATTTTGTCCTTGGTGGAACACGCAAGCTGAGAGCCCTCTGATGTATCTGGTGGTGTGATCAGATAGATGTCAACCAGTTTCTGAACTGGAACCACCTACATGAACCTCATTCTCACCTTAGAGAGACCAAGTGACTTTGACTCTGTGTGGTCAAAGTCTGTAACCAAGGGACAGTCTCTTCCCCAGCACAGGAATCCATGGAGCCTGTCCAATGTCACTTTCAGAAGTATCTCTACATGGGCTTCTCAGTCACAATTACCCACATGACTAGATTCTCTGAAATCTTATCCAGCTAGCAGTCACGGAGCTGTGACCACACTGAGATCCAGGTCAGAGGCTTCTCTCCATAGAGGGCCTTGAATCACCTCTCGTCCCAATGTGTTCTCCCATAAGGAGAACTTAGTTTTGCTAACTCAGACTCTGCTGACCCCAGATGAGCTTTACTATCTGGCCCAGAGGGACAGACACCTTCTGAGTGCAGACATCTCTATCCGCCAGCACAGGAGAGTAGTTATGGCTCACCTCTTACTCCGGCTAAAAGACCTAAGAGGAGAGTTGCCCCTAAGAGGAGACAGGAAAGACCAGTTGCTCCTCCAAAGAAAAGAAGAAGAAAATTACATAGGATGGATCCTTATGCAGCGGAAACTCGTCAGGACAAAGTAAGTTTATCTACTGTTCCAAACCTCTGCGGTGGCCAGGTCTGGTTTGAAGGCTGCCTTTGGTGCCTTGGTTTGAAAATAGTCTGGGTAAGGTTTAGGAGAGCTGGTATATTATCCTTGACTTCTACTCCAGAGCCTTTTGGTCAATTTAGGGTTAACAGTGATGTGAAGACAACTTAAACTCTCAGTATGACAGGGGGAAAAAAGGAGTCTTTTATCTTCTTTAAAGTTAGTTGACCCCACACAGATGTTGCCTTCTAAGCTGGAGTGATAGTTTGGAGGGCTGGTGTTTCTGCTTGGGAAAAAAAAAGTAACAGTGTTTTGTGGTGCTGCCTCTTGAGAAGAATCTAGAAGGTAGCAGGATGTGTCTTTTAAAACAGTGTAGATTAGAACTCAAAGAAACACTGACTTGTGTTAGAGCTGTGTTCTTTCTGAGACTAGCAGAGGCCTTCGTGGATGAGAGAGTGGTTGAGTCAGCAACAAGGAGAGAATGATAGGCAGACAGATCTGCATGTTTCTCAAAAAATGATAGTAACAAGATTTACTTTAAGCAATTACCTTCAAAAGAACCTTTGCCTATTCATTTCCTTAAAACTTCCAAATTCCTCTGAGGCATATTTTTCTTTACGAACCCGATTGCTAAGAAGTAGGTTCTGGATTTTACCTGAATTGTCCCATTGAATAAAGGAAAATAGCTCAGTGCCAAGGATAGACATGTGTTATGCATTTTGCCTTCCCATGTCTAGACATGGATCTTGGAGGACAGTGTGTGTTTCTCAGACAAATACCTCTTAGTCTCACATCTGTTAGTCCCTTCAGGTTTTGTGGCACATCCCCTTCTGCAACTTTCAGTTGTGACTTGGAATGCTGACGCCTGCCATGAAGAATAAAAGGCCTCCGCCTCATTTCATGGGTGAAATGATACAAAGAAAGGTCTTGAATCATCTGACAAGATTCAAATGGCAACTGCCATAATGTGTTTGGTTGGAAGTGATGCTCAGGTCTCTTGTTTTCATCTTGGTTATCTTGGATGTGTGTGTGTGGGTGTGTGTGTTTGGTACCTAAGCTGTAAAATCCATCTATCGTATAATGTTTGCTGTGAGGTTTCTTAAAAATCTATGCATTTCTTCCTCAGATGAGTCTAGGGAGGCAATCCTATGTGCATGTGGGCGCTTGGGACTCCCGTTGAAGCCACAGTGGGAGATGGTGGATTAAGTTTCTTGGGCTTTGGAAATGTTCCTCTGAGAAGCATCGGGAGTTTGTATTTCATTAGTCTAAACAGAACAAATTCTGTGGTTCATTTTTGTTTGTTGGGATTCTTGCGGATCCTTATTTAATCTGTTTGAAAAGAATAAAGTTGAGAAGCAGTAGCCTGTCCTGTGGACAGCTTCATTTGCAGGCAATTGGTTGCTCTCTGAGGTAGGCAGTTAGGGTCTTTGGAACAAGTGATGAATCTAATTCATTTCCCAGGAGAAAGTGATGGTTTTAACCTCTAAACTTAATGTCTTTGGTTCTCTCAGCCGATGTCTTTTTTTAGTTCAAAGTCTGGGAATTTTACACAGGGAACAAGGGATTTCCACTCTCCATCTGACTTTCTATTCACTCTTAAAACTCTTGGATTTAAAGAATGCATTCACATTTCAGGAAAGCCATTTTTTTGTGCCCCAAAAAGAATTAGCCTCAGCAATTTGTGATTTTTCACATCAAAATATTTCAAAAGGGATGGACTAAGGAGACCTTTTTATTTATTTACATTTTTTTAAACGGAAAATGGTGGGAAACTATTCCCTAGACAAAACTCTGCCTCTGGGCCAGAAGTTTTCTTTCCAGAACATTCTAAGGGTAGAAGATCTATGGAAGTCGAAAGGTAGAAACACATAAATAAGTATGTGAGGACTAACTTGCTTTTTCCAGATGACAAATCCTCTGAGGGAGATTGACAAAACCGTGGGACAGTTAATGGATGGGCTGAAACAGCTCAAGCTGCACCGGTGTGTGAATGTTATCTTCGTTGGAGACCATGGTAAGGCTTCATGTTTTTTCTTTGCTATTAATGTAGAAGTTTTGCAGGGCCATTGGTGATACAGGCCTTCAATCCCAGCACTCGGGAAGCAGAGGCAGGTCGGTCTCTGTGAGTTTGGGACCACCCTGGTCTACCGAATGAATACTAGGACATCTAGGGCTACACAGAGTAACCCTGTTTCAAAAACAATCAATCAATCAAACAAACAAATGAATGGATAGATATTTTCCAGGGTGTTGAGAAAAGGAATCATTGCTCTCAGAATCCAAAGTTCTGTTCTTAATTTCTCTTTCCCCCACCCTTTGCTTCAGGATAGGGAAAGAAATTAGGTCATGATACACAAGTTGGACAGAGCCAGGGATTTCTTCATCCTCCTGTTCTTTGTAGGAGAGGTCTTTCTATAAAACTCTGTCTCCTATTACAGTGTCACAGACAACTGACACATGATATTAATGACTTCCTCTGTGACTTCCACATAGCAGGTGACAGTCTCCTGCCTTTGTGAACCATGTCTCCAAAAGAGGCCCACAGAGTTTGTGTGGTTAAAATAGGAATTTGAATGTTTGAAGGGGGCAGAGGTGCAAATGTCTTGTCAAAGATATGACATTTAAGTCAAATGTTTCCTGGAGTTCTCAGAGGGAATTCAAGGCCCGAATCAAGGCCTCAACACAGAAGACCATTAAAAGAGGAAGAAGTAGTGTAGAGTGTGGTGTGATGTCTCACTCCCTTCTTTC